CGCCGTGTTATTTTGGTTGTTGCCCTCCCGCGCCCCTCCCGTCGCGGCTGCGGGCACACGGCCCTCCCGCCGTGTTCTTTGGTTGTTGCCCTCCCGCGCCCCTCCCGTCGCGGCTGCGGGCACACGGCCCTCCCGCCGTGTTATTTGGTTGTTGCCCTCCCGCGCCCCTTCCGTCGCGGCTGCGGGCACACGGCCCTCCCGCCGTGTTATCTGGTTGTTGCCCTCCCGCGCCCCTCCCGTCGCGGCTGCGAGCACACGGCCCTCCCGCCGTGTTATTTGATTGTTGCCCTCCCGCGCCCCTTCCGTCGCGGCTGCGGGCACACGGCCCTCCCGCCGTGTTATTTGGTTGTTGCCCTCCCGCGCCCCTCCCGTCGCGGCTGCGGGCACACGGCCCTCCCGCCGTGTTATTTGGTTGTTGCCCTCCCACGCCCCTTCCGTCGCGGCTGCGGGCACACGGCCCTCCCGCCGTGTTATTTGGTTGTTGCCCTCCCGCGCCCCTTCCGTCGCGGCTGCGGGCACACGGCCCTCCCGCCGTGTTATTAATTTTTCTGTGTCTCCACCTTTCCACGCTGCTGCGATGGTGTAGATGGAGCGTGCGCGGTGACCCGCGCGGCTTTGGCGTCTTTCCCCCGCCTGTCCTTACAACGCCTCACGTGCCACATCCAGCTCCTCGTCATCGCTCGCCACCACAACCGCCATGACTGCGGTCTCGCCCTTCGCCTCCTCCTCACCCTTCGCTGACGGGCACTTGCTCTTATCGTGTCCATACCCGTCGCAGACTTCGCACTGGGTCAAGAAGTTGGTGATGGGGGTAGTGCACGAGGCCGACTGGTGCCCTCGCCTGTTGCACCGGTAGCACCGGCCCCTGCGGCGGCCGCCGTCACTGCGACCGTCTCCACCGCCGTTGCCGTTGCCGTTGCGTCCCCCACGGCCGCGGTTGCGACCCGCTTTTCCACCGCAGCCATTGTTGGTGCTCACGAGTAATCCCTGCTCAGACGCCTTGTGATTGTTACGGTTGCCGTACCGATGGTTCTTCCCCTGCCTGATGCTGGAGTGCTGGGAGCCCACCACTCTAATGACCTCTCCCCGGTCCAGGGTCGGGGCGGACTGCAGAGTCAGTTTAGCATGGTCGTACTCGGCTGGTAAGGCCGAAAGGAAGAGCGACAGCACGTACGGGGCCTCGACTTTGACCCCCCTCTCGTTCAGACGACTTGCGAGTTGCTCCATGGCGATAAGCGATTCAGTAGGGTTTTTGTCGGACGGCATTGCGAAGTTCTGAAACTTGCTGAGCAACTCCTGCGTGGCGACCTGCGATTCCGGGTTGTGCACCTTGTCTAGTTCGTCCAACGCCTGCTTCGGCGTCACACATCTCCCGAAGACGGCCTTGTCTGGCTCCCTCACCAGGGCCGAGGACAGAAAATGAAAAGCTTGGAGGCTGCGGTGTATTTGTGCCTCGGAGTACCCCTCTGCCAGCAGCGTAGCTTTGGGTTTATTCATGTCCCCGACGTCCGGCTGGCGTTCCGTGCCCCCTACGAACTGACCGTCCATGTCTACCGTTTTTGCAGCCTGGATAAAGGCCCTCCTCCACGAGTAGCATCCCTGGCCGCCTTCGAGGCGCGGCGCGTGCACTGACACACGCATTTTGCTATACGGGTTCTGGTGAAAACCGTCTCCTTCTCCGACGAGTCCGCCAAAACCGCCAATACCACCGCCATATGTCTCGGTTGTCTCACCTTGGGGGAGCGGTCCCCTGTCACGCCCGCCACCCGGCCCAACCGCCGGGTCTGAGGGCGGCGTGATTCCCTCGTTCTGCGGTGCCCCCTCCTGGGCACCGCCGGTGGACGTAGTGCCCGTGACGACAGCGCCCACCCCAGCGCCGCCGGACTCCCCCTCCTTGTCTAACTTTCCGAGGGCGGCTCGGAGCAGCCCTGCCAGCTGCTGTACCTCGTCCGTCAGGCCTGAAACTTTGCTCTCCAGGTTGTCAACCCTGCCCTGCGTACTAGTGGTGACGTCGGCAGCCTCTGCTGCAACATCGGCGCCACTCATCTCCAGCACGGGTTCCCTCGAGGGATACACCTCTAGAGTGTTAGTATACCCTTGTAAGTGTGTTGAAGATGATGGTATCACTTGTATTTAGGACAGCAGACACGATCAGGACGCGGCGGGAGAGAGAGAGTGCCACGACACAGCAAGCACTCCCGCAGGGTCGAGCCCCGTGGATCA